CAGGGCAACTTGAGGGCGAAGAGCTGGGTGTAGAGCTCGGTCCACGCTTCAAGGATCTACTACCGAGACATCCACATCCCAGAGTTGCTGGTCTTCAGGCCCATGGGCCAGTCCCACACCGAGGACGACACCCGTTTGCACCAAGAGGCATCTTCTGAACACTCATCAGCCAGACCGGCTTCACAAATTTTACCGGGTCTGAGGTAGAGATGTTTGACGAGGGGGGTCTCATCTTTCAGCAGAAGGCAGAGCCTTTGAGACCCATCAAGGCAAAAGGCTCAGACTTCAGACTTTCGTGAAGTTGGTGCAGGCCTCGGCTTTTCCAGCCCTGGCTTTGCAGCCACCGCCTGGTGCGCAGGACCTACCGCTAGACTCATAGTGAGCAAAGTCGTGTACACAACTCCCCATGACGTAATTGCCGCAATTGCAGTCCATAGTTGCACTCGTCGTAGTCTTCAGCCCCTCTTGGAAGGTAATCGATGCCTGTGCAGCTCCGGGATCGAAGACCTCGCAGCTCGCAGCGGCTTGCTTAGATTTGGCCCGTCGGTTTGGATTGTTTGTGGTTTAGGGCTGCAGAGCAGAGAGCATAAGATGCACATCATGTGAGTGATAGTTTGGGAGCCTGAGGCGATGATGTGCAACCAGGGGACGATCTACGCTTTTGACAGAGACGCTAGGCGCTTGAAGACCATGACAAGCTTGCTGGAGCAAAGACACGTCACCTGCGTGGAAGCGCGAGAGAAGGACTCGACAGGCTGACACCATGAGTTGTGGTGGCCTTACAGCGGGTCTGCAGCCAGCTTCCATGCCGCACGCCCGCCAGGACTTTCTGCAGGTGTCCACCCGAGATCCGAAGTACAGCAACGTGACGCACTTTCTGCTTGATCCAAGCTGCTCTTCGTCCGGGATGACAGCGCAGCCCATCTCGGATCCATCTTCGCTCCAGGAACTCGCAGCCAATCAGAAGGCAGCTATCTTGCATGCGATGCGATTCCCGTCCTGCCAAAGAATCGCCTACTCAACCTGTTCCATCCACGAGGACAGTGCTGTCATCATTCTTTTGATTCTCGCTTCTTTTGTAGAGTGTAGAGCCCAAATTCAGTGTGGATTCTTGTTGTGCTTGATGTTTCGGCATGATCGAATTCGGAAAAGGACGAGAATGAGCAGGTCGTGCAGCAGGTACCTCTGCAGCAGATGTAGCCTAAAAAACTACATGAGCTTTCCGTCCCGAAGGTGCTTGACACGAAGGAGGGCAAGCATTACCTTCTCGAAGAAGCGCTTCCATGGCCCTGTCCTCAGCCAGCTTCAGATCGGGCAGGGAAGGCAGATGAGGGCGGGGACGTTGAGACTGCACCGTCATGACAGCTGCTTGCCCTCTTGTCAGACCGCAGGTGGCCGCGCAGGGGCTTGAAATTGCCACACTTCCCGGAGGCAGTGCGCTGCGTCCGCAGCAACTGGGAAGATCGAACCATCGGCTTCTTCGTGGCTTTGTTCGTGCGAGCGGAAAAGTGTCGCCCGTAGTGCATGTACAGGGCAGGGGCTCTTGTTCATTCTTCGCAGTGCATTTATAAAAATCAGTACGACCACCCCTACAATCTATCGGTTGCCTGAGCGATCCATTCTGCGCTTTCTGAGCTGGAGAGAAGATTTCGGGAGATGATGCTTCGCTCATGGTTGGGTTCGCGCCAGGCTTAAGTAATAGTTTGTGGGTGTTCTGGATCTTAATTCAGTGGCTGCGCTGAGTAATTAGTTGACGGCCCGTCTGCCTTTGATTGGTCTCTGAGGCTGTTTGATACGTTCAAACCAGGTGGGGAGAGCCAGGCGCGTCTCCGGTCCCCTTTGCTGTAAGTCACTGTAAGTCAGGCAGCCTTGGGCGGCGTGAAGCCATGCCGAGATTCCTTGTCAAGAACCAACTGTCAATAGTCCGCAAAGGGAGTCGCATGCAGGAAGGAAAAAAAGACATTCGGACTCATGCACCAGGAAGCAGAGAAGGAATGAGAATCAGCTTGAGATGAATGCAGGCATGAATGAATGGAAGTTGAGACGGCAGATCGTCTCCTGATATAGGAACTCCTCAGGATTAATCGTTGTACTGCCAGGGTGGACAAGAAAGGAGCATGCATTGCCACGGCAGGTGATCAACAGAATACTTGAGCTGTTTGCTGACGCCTACTTTTTGCAGTGGTCGAGAAACAAGGACCCGGATGATTGTAGCTCGCCTCAGGGCCACGGTTGCGCACACTTCCCAAACCTGTTGAGGACAAGACAATTCCGGAAACCGCATACGCAGCTGCCGATAGCGTGTCGGCCTGGGTTGGTGCCACTCTAGGTATAGTGGGACTTCTGCGGCCTATCACATTGAAATTCATGTGATGCTTAGGTTCTCGCAACAGCTTTCAGCCTCATTATGCTGAACACCTCACTTCACGTAGCCTCCAAGAAGGCCTCCCCAGACAGAGACATGTGTTTTGTCATGAGTTTTCTGCCTGGCAAGGCCGGCAAGTCGCCCTCTGCCTCGATGACAGCGACGGAGTTCGTGGAAAACACGCGAAGGGTTGTCAGACGACGCCTTAGCTCGGCCTAGAGATGCCTTGCGCCACGAGCGCTCAGGAGCTGTTGTGAGCTGTTTCGGTGCTACGAAGGCGAAGAAGAAGTTCCCGCAGTCGCCTTGCGCCAGTTCTATGCGGACGTCAAGAAGGCGCACGGTCCGCGCCTGGTTGCTTGACGGAAGTTATGTGAAGGGGTGGTCAAGTTGGTGTTAGGACGAGATCTCCATGCAGCCCATGCCGAAGCCCTTGCTGTCCAGCATGCAGAGTGTCTCCTGGCGTGTAGCAATGCCCAGGCCGCGCGTGGCCTTTTCTAGGTTGCCTGTGCAGCCAGACATCGAGGGCTGGCTGATTGCATCGTCGGCCCGTTTGGCCATGCAACATCATGCTCTTCGGAAATGGCCGCTTTGTCAGGTGCTCCTCGGCGCTGAGGACCAAAGGCGGTTTTGGGCGGCCCGGTGCTAAGAGGACTCTGGCCTTACGATGCGCTAGCAATGTCCAGCTTGGCATTTCATGTACAGATGCCGACAGAAGGTACTGGCACTTCAACGGTTGTACCTTTTCTCGGACAACAGCGATGTGGATCCTGCGGATGCGTGTGACCTAAAGGATCGCCCGTCAGTAATTCATGTCAGCCAATACCAAAAGCCGGAGCTAGATACGTGGAGCCTATAGTGGCCAAGCACCGCAGGATGCCAGCGCTGGCAAAATCCTTGATGATGCCTCTTTGTTGCACTTGGGGCGAGGTTTGTGGTGGGTGCATCTTGCATTCCCTCCTACAGGCCGATGCAATGGAGCGTTACCAGATGCTGCAAGGAAGAGGCAAAGGCAAATGCTTCTGCTTCCCCCGCTCAGGCCCGGCCAGTTGCTACAGGTCAGAGATACACAATTTCGTAGCTGTCACAGGCCGTGGGCTGGTTGACCCGGACATGGAGCGCAAGTGTCTCAGCAGTTTTGACAAGTTTTCAACAAGACCACTGTTCTGTGGGCGACTCCAGGGCGTGCTTTTGCCGTCAATCAGAAGGCAACGGGGTTGGTGCCTGCGAATGCTGTGCCACGGAAACGCTTAAGAAGAGATGCCTCGCCTCAGTCTGATGGTACATGGCTCTCCCAGCTCGGGCATCCCAGTTCACAATTGATCCTCGCCTGGCCCTTATTCCTAGTAGCATCAGCTTTGCTTTGAGATGCAAGATGAAGCGAGGGCGGCTTATACTGCAGTCCAGGTGGCGGAGTCAAGCGATTTGATGGTAACACCGTCTCGTATTGGTTGTCGCTGCAATTTGAGAACAAACGTCTGAACATTGCCTTCAGAAGCGGCAAGGAGAAGTGGGTGAGCCTCATCGACTGTGGGCCATATTGACATCTAGTGTGTTCTGACATGCATGTGGGTCCGCTTTCCAGACGCCATCAGGCGCTGATGCTTAGAGCTCAACTTTTTGGAGGAACTCCGGGAAGATGGCGTCTGCAGGTTCAGGAGAAATTTGATTTGATATTGCGCCAAAGCGTGCATTTCAGCGCCTCAGTGGCCTGAGAGGCAAGTAGATTTGAGATCCGTGCCCGTACTCAGGGCGTAGCGTAGTGAGGCTTTTGTGATGGCGTTCTAGCTCGGTACAGCTTCGACAAGCACTGCAGTTGGGAGGCAGAGGCCGAGATAGGCCGAGGTGACGAGGACAGGTTCGATTTTCTTCTCACCGCCTGCAGTGCTTCGGAGCTCCGAAGTCTGAAGATTTCAAACCGTGAGTCGTGCCAGCACATGCTAGCCGCCTCCCACACGGCTGGCGTGCAGCATGTTTCACTTGGACAGCTCGCCGTCGTGGATCTAGGGGAAGCAATCAAGAGGAAGTTTTGGCCGCTGCGCAACTCCCCGGAACCTCGAGAGGAGATGTATTTGTTTGCACTGAAGCCTCAGTTTTGGTTAGGCAACCATGAGATTCGCACACGGAAGAGGTGCTGGTTTCCAGTTCATTGCCGCTAACTCAACTTACCCCTGCAGTTTTCGAAGTTGTGCATGTTGCGGCAGCAAGCTCACAGAGTACTTACATGCAACTCTGCGCTAGAGCACTCCCGTCAGCCGACTCCTCAACTCCAACCCCAACAGCCCACCATTCAGCCCACAGAACCGTCAAGAGTCTAGTTACAAAGCAACTGTTGTAGCTGCCGCCCCGATGGCTGCATCTGGGTTCCAGTAGCAGGCCACTCGCCGTGCCTCTGAAGACCACTGACAGTTTTGGCATTCTTGCACCGGGCGCGTTGGTCGGATATAGGGAGCGCCTGTGCAGTAGCCTCGGTGGGATTGTCCGAGATACGAGAGTGGCATTGTAGCGCCGTACTTACGCATGCACGCAAGTGCGGCATAAACGAAAATGAAGATCAAAGCTGTGCAGTGCATCATCACAGGCTCTACTGAACCTCGTGCTTTGATAGGCTTCATTGCTGTGTCAGGAGCTACCCCGGATGGTGGCCCGCAGTGGGTCTGGCCGAGGCATCGGAAGTAGCCACTCGCGAGTTGCTTATGGCCGATCGAGAATGATAATGCCGGGCTTGGAATCCAAGATAGGGAAGAGGCATCGTGGGACACTGTGGGTTCTTGAAGGATTCTACGATGGCCTTCTTTCTCTCGAGTCGAGTCTCGAGAGCCCCTTCCGTGCGTGCGCCGGCAGGGCGGGATCGCAGTCGGCGTCGGAGGAGCCGTCAGGGCCGCCAAGGCGCTTGATTCTGGGCTGCTGGGTGTTATTTTGGGTTTTTGGACAGCTTGGGCCTGTTTCCTTTTACAGGTATGCCGATGTCACAAACTTAACACGTCCTGGGCATGGATTGTTTCAGTGCTTGTCATTTCCAGGCAGGCAATCTCCACAGACACGCCGAGGCCTGACTTTCCGGTTCCATGTCAACTGGCAGCCCATGGAGCGTGTGGCAGGTCGAAGCAACAGCAACCGGCGCCGAAACGACCGGGATGGGCGCAGGCGGGCAAAATGCGAGTATGAAGACTTGCCCTGCGCGGATGGTAAAGCTACTCAGAGGCGCGCTCGCGCGCTTCACGGAAGTCGTGCCGAGTCTGGTGCAGTCGGTACTCCCCGTTGCATCAGACCAAGCCCGTTCCCGAAAGCTTGTATTGTCAATTGACTGCCTGTGGTGATGAAAAGCGACCGCATAATCCTAACTACCGGTGCACTCTTGCGTAGAGGTCGGGCTCCACAACTTACACTACTTGCTACTTGTACACATAACTGTTGCACAGCTTTGTCTCGTGTTATTTGCTTGCTACGTGTGTTCCAGTACTTGGCAGAAACCTAGCAAACTCTCATCGGGCAGGCCTGATCGGTCGCGCCGACGCCTCGCAAGAGGCACCGTTCATTGAAGCCTTGAGGCAGGTGGGAATCCTGGAATGGTGCTACCGGAGGTGGTGGAGACCACCGAAAGCGAGACGAGCGAAGTGATAGAGCTTCGAGAGGCCGTGACTTCTCGTTTTACGGAGAATCTGTTTAGCAGGAGCTCGGGTGTGTTTGGACATTTTGGACTGAAAGGAAACCTTCGTGCTCGGAGTGGCTCCGAGGAGGAGCCTAGCTTCAAAAGGCTCCTGGAGGCGAAGCGAGCCAAGCGCCAAACAGGGCGCGAGAAGAGCGAAGAGCCGGCGCTGCTCTCAGCTCTCGGAATGGGACACCTCAGCTCACCTTCTCCCCTCAGCTCAGGCCAGCGAGGGCTCGCAGTCGCCAAAAAAGGATCGCAAGAGCCGGCGGCGCAGGCAGGAATCGCCAGATGGGTTTGGGGTCTTGCGGACGTGAGCGATGCAGGAGCAGTAGGCAGGAGGTGGTTGATGTTGGGGGAGGGGTCGAGTGTGCGCTCC